AGATACTTGTAAATTTGAGCTTTAATCATGACCTTATGAATCTCTCACAAAATTACTGTTAGGCCTTGTTTATGAACTGGAAGGCATTCAGTAACAGCTTGCATTCTCTAATTGATGAATGTGTGCTTTTTACAATCTGCATTCTTAAGTATATCTGTGTGTATTGAATGAAAATACTTTTGTAATTCTATAATCTTTTACATTATTATAATTTTATATTTTAAGAAATGCAATTTTAATCAGAAGATAATTTTTTCTTAACCTTTTCAGGTTCAAAGTCGAATGTTTTACTATGGGGCAAAAAAAAAAAGTGTGTTTTTAATGAGTTAATGAGTGTGCAGTCATTATGTTGCAGGGACATATGCTTAGTTAACAAAACACCACTAGCCACTTCCAGTAGCTAGAAATGAGTAAAATGAAACATGAATGGTAAATGAACATGAATTTAAATTGGCTTTTATTCTCTTCTGAAGCTTTCTATACATTGTTTGCATTCTTATTGTTCCATTGTTTTTGTGCATCTTCAATCTATTCTGTCATTATGTCACTGTTACAAAGCCAACTACTCAACATATCTTCTGTTCACCCCGAGGGCCTGAGTAAACTATTATATTATGCACTTCACGTTGGTATTTTAGTTTGCCTCAGTAGAGGCAAAAATGAAAATTGGCACATATTGTGCATGTATTCAACTATTTACAAACAGGAGGATATAAAAAGGCTAATTCCAAACATTAATGCTTGAGAAAACTAATGCCATTATGAATTAAACAATTTTCGACAATAATACTACACTACATGTAAGGCTTGATTCATGCCGTTTGATTCACCTAAGTATGTGTTTTTACTTGCAATGAAATTTGCCTCGGGATGTTTTGGGTATTAGACCAATTATCCCTTTTCTAACCATCTGAGAAAGGACTTTTGTCACGTATTTCTGAAACAAATGCATTCTTGCATCATATAACCCTTTTGTACATCATAAGATCTTTCTTTTCTTTTTTACTGTATTTGTATAGGGCAATCCAGCTTCTGATACTCTAATAACTAAATAGTATGATCTCTATATGAGGTCACAGACCCACCACTTATTTTATATTTAAGTCTAGAAAGTGTGGTGTCTCTGGGGGAAAGTTTATGTAAATTAAAGTAGTACTTACACCACACTTTTCTTTCCTGAGTTTTGTGGCGTTTCGTCCTCCAACTCTCTTCCAAATACAGTCCGTAATCCGTTCCCTTAATCCTGATCCGATCCAAACTCCAAAAGTCCGTAATAAAGCCAGTCTGTGATGTATCCTTATCCCGTGTCCGTAATCCAAAACCGTAAACCTTTTCTCCTTTCAGTAGTCCGTTATTCTTTAGCCCGATCTTAACATGCACCTCTTTCCTCTCTTTTCCTCCAAACCGCATTCACCTTATCGGCTTCCGCCCTGTTCACTGCCTCCGGGGCACTTATAATTCGGTTCCTGATGGGGCTCAGCTGTGTCTCATTGTTTCTTAGGGTAGACCCTTTCCATTTACTGGTCAGCTGATTCTTTTTGGCCACCATCTTGCTAAGGTCCATCTCTAGTATTTTCAGTGTTTCGTTACGGAAGTACCTGTTAGAGATGACCATTCCCCGGGTCCTCTTACAAAAGGTATCAGCATCTTACTATATTTCCATCATCATCATCATTTTCATCATTCAAAATGTAATTCTACAGCAACAACACAAGCCCATACTTCTGCTTTCCGAAACAGTATTTTAGTATAGTGTATTACATAAGGTAACACCCTGAGAATATGCCAGTCTGTGATGTCTGTTTTTCGTTGTATTTGTTTTTACAGTTCTGGCGATTTGGGAAGTGGGTGGATGTTGTGATAGATGACAAGTTGCCAACCCTTGATGACAACCTTATTTTTGTCAGACCTAAAACCCAGAATGAATTCTGGCCTGCCTTACTGGAGAAGGCCTATGCCAAGTAAGTCTGTCCAATGTCTACATCTACTTGAACCAGAATATAATTCTAAAAAACATAATCCACCAACAATAAAAGAAAAGAAACTCATACTGTCAGTGCTCACAAAACTGATGATTTTGAGAAGTGACAACCAGAACCCTAGGAGAAATATTATATCTTTTGAGTACAAAAGAGCTGTTCCATCACCAGTTCAAATAATAATAATAATAATAATAATAATTGCTTACAGTTATACTGTATAGCACTTTTCTGGACACGCCACTCAAAACACTTTACAGGTAATGGGGACTCCCCTCCACCACCACCAATCTGAAATATCCACCTGGATGATGTGCCAGCAGCCATAGTGTGCAAGTACACTCACCACAAATCATCTCAGTGGAAAGCCAGTTGATGAAGCCAATTCATAAATGGAGATTATTAAGAGGCCATAATTGATAACAGCCAAATGGAAAATGTGGCCAGGACACCAGGGTAACACACCTACTCTTTTTGAGAAGCACAGGGAGCCAGGACCTCAGTTTTACATCTCATCCGAAAGACAGCACCTTTTTACAGTATATATAGTGGGGCATTAGGATCCACACAGACCACAGTGAGCTCCTCTGGCTGGCCCCAATGATACCACCTTGGCTTTCCAGGAGGTCTCCCATAAGTGTACTGACCAGCCTCACACCTACTGAACTTCAGTGGGTTGCTAGTTGTGAGTTGCAGGGTGCTGGCACTTAAGGCAAAAATTGTTATACAGTACACTAAAACATGCCTGAAATGCTTTGTTTATTTGCCTTCCTTCTTCCATCATTTCAAATGTGGAGGAAATAAGATGAAATAATTCACAATCTGCTTCCAGTTGAATTACAGACAAATAAAAGATCACACATTTAGATGTAAAGCTTGTGTTTAAATCAGTATGGATATTTTGGAGACTCAAAAGACATTTAAAAAGAAAGTGAAAGAAGGGGGCTTTGGCACTTCGTGCTGCTGCCTCACATGTGTTGGGCTGTAGCTAGGTTAGCTGCTGTGTATGAATTGTTCTTGTGAGTACATGAGCCCTGCAAAAGATTACCCAGCAGTCTGGGGTGTAGTCCCTTGTTTCCGGGACAGACTTCAGGTTTCCAGAAACCTCACTAGGGAACAGCCTCCTGAGGATGGATGAGCTGGCAGGAAGAGAAGCAAAGTTTCAACACTCTTTGTTGAAATGACCCAGCTGAAGAATTATTCATTGCTAGCTTTGAGTGTATTTATCCTCTGCCCTTGTATTCTTGTGGAAAGTATGCCCAATGTTCCATCAGAGTTGCAGTTTTTTTTACTGTTTGCCCGTGCTCTTTCTCAGGGTGTGCGGCTCCTATGCTGACATGAGCTCCGGAAGTGTGTCAGAGGCTCTGATGGACTTCACTGGAGGAGTGCATGTTCGCTTCAATCTGAAGGAAGCCCAACCAGACCTATGGGAAACCATTGAAAGAGCCGCAAAAGTCAACTCTCTCATGGGATGTGGAACCCCTCCAGTGGTAAGAATGAGATTTATAACACTGTACAAAGCTGAAAAGGTAGCCTGCTATATATGATATATGATTTTTTTCTTTTATGTCCTCATCAAGACAATATAGGGAAGCAATACAAAACAATGCTTGGAAACATAGCAATAAATGAGACATTTAAATCCAGTGAAGTTACACTTAAGTACTAGAATGCACTAGTAAGACCACATCTTAAATATTGTGTTCAGTTTTGGTCAAGAAACCACCAAAAATATGATTTCCTAAGAAAGAGTACAAAGAAGAGAAACGAAAATGATTACTGGTATCAGGGAACTGTTGCATACAGTATGTTCAGTTTGAGGGACCTACATTTTTTCAGTCTCAAACAGAGATGATTAAGAGAACTGATCCAAGTATATAAAAAGGGTTATAGACAGGTTCAACCTGCATCGTACTTACACTAGTAATGAAACAAGGACACGGAGTCACGGCTGTGAAGGGGAATTAATTAATTAAAAGACAGAAACATTTATTTATACAAAGGGCTGTGGATATCTGGAACAGGTTTCTCTGTCAGGTTGGATGAAACTTTAGATTCACTTTGCAATCAAACTACCAAACAAGCACTAATAGTTACTAATAATTTGGGATATAGAGACTAGCAGATGTAAAAAATATGGGCGTATATCATTTACAGATATATTATTTTAATTTTGTGCTTTTCTTTCCTTTTAGAAAACATCAGGAAAAAATAATGTACTGCCCAGTGGATTAGTGGAAGGCCATGCCTATACAGTCACTGGTGTTGCAGAGGTAAGTCCATTTAAAAATCTATCCCAAAACATGGAACAACACTCCATATCTATAGAATATAGACTATAAACGCATCCATATTATTACTGCCTTCTTGCATCTTAAACAATACTGGAACTATCAAATGTGTTTGAGAGTGAACTTATTGAAGGTTTTAGTAGATGTTTTATTTCAGCTAATAAACAGTTAATTACGTTTATCAAGTGCACTTAAGAAATCAATAAATGCATTCACTAATGAGAGTGCATATACATCTTAATTGTTTTAATTAAAGTTTTTTCCAAGTTAATTAAACAGTTATTCAGTTTGGCAAATGGTACTTAACATTTATCGTATTTCATAACATTTAAAAGGGATAAATTAGTCCTATAAATCTATTCATCATTTACATCTTAGGTCACTTAATACTATAGAAAACATGCCCAATGATAACCTATGGGAGACAAAGGGTTTCAATACAAAATGGGGTTTATAACAGAAGTTTGGGAAGAAGGACAAGTCCTGAATTCACACACATACAATTGCCTGCATATATGCGTCTCACACCCAGATCTTCGCTGGGTGTATCTGTATCGCATTCCCCCTGCCTCCCCATCGACACCCTTGCAGCTGTGATGTGGGGGGGGTTAGATCAGTCTTTCCCAGTCTTTTCACCCAACTAGGCTGCCATTCCTTCAGCCGGGCAAGTCAAACTGAACACTCTAAAAATCTTATCCCCCTATCATCCATTCATTACAATCTAACCAAGCTGCTGAAATGTCTGTGATGGTACAGGATTTTTGTTAGTTGTTTTTTTTTTTTAATGTGAGAGAAGGAATTCTAGAAAGTGCCCCAACACCACTCCAGAAGTCTTGCTGGGGAATTTGGTGGAAAGGTCCGAATAAATAAATAAACTTTCTCCACAGGTGCTGAGCAATGGAGTACCAGAGAAGTTACTTCGGCTGTGGAATCCATGGGGAAGAGAGGAATGGATAGGAGACTGGAGTGATGAGTAAGCTCTCTGAGGAACCATAATTAGTTGTTTTTTTTGGGGGGTGGGGAACATAAATTCTATTGAATAATTCAGAAGATAAAGTCGAAAGGAAATATCAACATTTTTAATTGTGCATGAGTAAACATTTTTAAAAATTGATTCCAATATTTTATGCCATGTGAACAGTTTTGGGAGAGGGAAACAGAATGTTTGGAGTTTTCTGCATTTATTTTTTTTCCATTTACTCCAGTAGTGAGTATTACAGTAGTATTCAGTAGTAAAGATTAGTAAAGACTAAGCCAACTGACATGAATACAAAGTGATTCATTCCAAGTTTATTTTTTTTCTTTCAAGAATAAAGGGATGATTTTAAAAGGGTTCTGTTTTCAAAGTTGTTCCTGAGAACTGAAACAAGCTAAGAACAGCACAATCTCCGAAGACCTATCTATGTGCAGGACACTACAGAACTCAGACTGACTCTTGGTCATTTCTGAGTTTCTGGTGTTCAAGTCTGCGTTTTGTCAGATTACCCATAAAGCCATATAATTTAGTATGTAAATTATATTCTGATTCTTTTCTGACAGATCCCCAAAATGGCAAACAGTGGGTGCTAAAGAAAAAAAAGAGTTGCTACACAACAGTGATGACGGAGAGTTTTGGTAAAACAAATTCTATTTAAAATTTCAACAAGCCTTTTTATGAAACTGTAGAATGAATCATTCAATATCAAAAACCTTTTTTACATACAGTATATAAATTGCTTAAAATGTTATTGTAACAGGTTCCTTATGTGAGCAAGAAAATAAAGCACAAAACCACACAGCGTACAGCAGCCATACGTTAGAGTATAATAAACATAATGAATATATTTCAGGTGGGTAGCTGCATCAGCATGCGTAGGAACAATGCTGAAAAGAGAAGAAAGAAAACACAACGTTTCAGCCATGGAGCCTTCTTCAGGCGTGGTGGTGACACCTGAAGAAGGCTCCATGGCCGAAACGTGTTTTTGTTGTGTTCCCAACAAGAATCTGGCTCCAAATATTTGAAAGTGTAATCCAACCCATTGCCCTATACGGCAGTGAAGTGTGGGGTCCCCTCATAGACCAGGATTACACCCAATGGGACAAACACCCCACAGAAACTCTGCACATGGAGATCTGTAGAATCATCCTCCGTGTGCAGAGAAAAACTCCTAACAACGGGTGCAGGGCCGAATTAGGCCAGTACCCACTATTGATAAACATACAGAAAAGAATATTAAAGTATTGGCTACACTTAAAAAACAGCGACCAAAATTCCTACCACCACAAAGCCCTGGTGAGCCAAGAGCTGAGCCCAAAACAGAGCCCCCTGAGCCAGCTGGTCCTGAGGCTCACCGACCTGAGCCACACCGACACTAACCAGCCTCAGGACAGCACTGCTAGAGCACCACAACCCAGACTCAACCACATCACAGCACAGATCAAACAGCAATATCTCACACACTGGGACACACACACACAAACACAGCATAAACTGGAATGTTACAGAACCTTAAACAGACAATACACACTAGCTGAATATTTGACCAAAATAAAAAATAACAAACAGAAACAGACCCTGACGAAGTACAGGCTCAGTGACCACAACCTGGCCATAGAAACTGGGCAATACAGGCAGACCTGGCTGCCCAGAGAGGACAGGCTGTGCTCCCACTGCCAGCGGGGAGAAATAGAGACAGAGGTGCACTTCCTACTGCACTGTGACAGATACTCTGGGATTAGAGAAACATTCTTCCCGAAATTCAGAAATCTAATCCCTGAGTTCCCACACCTGCCAGAATCACAACGGGTCCCAATCCTACTGGGAGAGGGAGGAGGGAACTCAGTTGATCTGGCAGCCCAGTATGTGATCTCCTGTCACAGCCTGAGGAACAGTGAGTCTGTCTCCCAATAATGCTCCAGCTGCCTACAGTATATGTCAATATTTTATCATATGTCTTTGTTGTAAATGTCTGTAACATGTCTGTACATTTTATTTTACTTCTATTTTTTGTTTTGTTCCATGTTAATTGTATTATTTTTTATTTGCTTTGGCAACACTGATTGTACCCATCGGTCATGCTAATAAAGCACCTTGAATTGAATTGAATTGAATAGTTGTCGTGGCTACATGCAGAGAAAAGAGATCTGTCCCACCTTTGCATGATTTTGAACTATACTTGTCTCATGGGGAACAGCTTCCTTAAGATTAGAATTTCATCCTCTAAACCTTGGAGTTCCCAGTTTCGTTATCTTTTGGATTCTACCTCACCTTTCAGATTTTCCTTGTACTTTGTTCTGTAGCTCTCTGGGCAAACAAACATGTTTGCATGTTTTTGACTTTGTTTTGGATTTTGTTTTTCTGCTTGTTTGCTTGACACGACAGGCTGTCTGCTTGCTCATCATGCCAGTCTGCCTGTTTGCCTGCTCATTTTCCTACTTTTCTGCCTGCATTTTGACTCTTCTCTCAGCCCTGCTTAAATCAGGTACAAGCAGTGTCTTTACAGAAGGTTTGTGGGTGCCAAAGTGGCAAAATAGTTGTCTCCAAGGTATTAATGACGTAGAGAAACTTGGCACTTTTTAAAAAAAGATAAGCTATTGTCCTGAACAAGAGATAATTCCATGTAACTTTTAAAACCTTCAGACAGATACCTGGCTGCCTGCCTGGAGGACAGGCAATAAATAGTCTGTCATTCACAGGTTTAAGGTTTCAGTTAATGAACTGTTCTGATCTGTTATTCTTCATTTTAACCAACCAAAATTTATCGTTATAATTCTCTTTCAATTTTTTTTCAAGAAAATTTGTAATGAGATCCTTAGCTACCAAATGGGTCAGATGGGCCTAATAGTATTATTATTTGTAATCCTTTATGTTCTAAAATTGTTTCCTTATCTTAAAACATGTAATATTCTGTTTATGTCATTAGAAAATCCTGTTTACAAAGGACAGAAGACTTTTTTTTTTTCTAGCCAAACTCACAAAAGAGTGAGTCACATCAAAGAATGTCAGGTTTCCTTTCAGCAATAAGCATTATAACCCATTTACAATAATTTTCAGTTGTTTTTTTTCAGTAATGACATCTGTGTGTTATGGATTTTGTTAACCTTGCCATTACAGTTGTAATCTGGTTTTCAAAGTTGTAAGGAGAAAGTTTTGAATCCACAATTTCATATTTTTCTAAACGAATGTGTTACATTGTAGTCTTTTTTTACAGGATGTCGATAGAGGACTTCAAGAGGCATTTCACAGAAGTAGACATCTGTAATTTATCCCCTGAATTTCTGGATTCAGGAAATAAGTGTGTCTGGGACTCTTCTGTCCATGAAGGAAGATGGGTTCAGGGAGCCACAGCTGGCGGCTGCTTGAACTACAGTGGTAGGCTTGAGTTGTAATATGCTTATTCCATTTCCTTTCCTTTCAAGAGCCCTTTACTGGCATGACAGAAGAACTGAATATTGAATATTGTTTGTCTTGAGAAGACTATGGGGGAGGGGTAGGAGGTCCTGATTCATCCATTAATCCATTCATCCTTCTGTCCATCCCTTTCCTAATTGTTTTATCCAATACAGCATCGCAGAGGGGCCAAGGCCTATCCTGCAAGGCGATACACACCCTGCACTAAATGCCAATCCATCACAGGGTGCTCATACAGACACACACTTGCACACAATCACACCAGTGAAGACAATTAACCTACCAGCATGTCTTTTTACTGTGGGAGGAAACCAGAGCACCCAGAGAAAACCCTCATGAACATTGGGAGAACATTAACTCCACACAGATAGCACTGCATGTCCAAAATTGAATGCAGGGCCCCAGCACTATGAGACAGTAATGCGAACCACTGTGTGCCACCGTGGTCTTGATTCTGTATTTAAAATCATTAAAAAAGTTTTTATAGACCTCTTCGTAATCAACAGTGAATAGCAAACCAGAGGACAGAAGAGGGAACTACAGGGAAATACATTTAAAATGGAGAACTGGAGATCCTTGTTGAGGCTCTTACCCTATTTTTATTTTTCAAAGAATGGATGAGTGAGCTCATAGGATCACCTAGCTACTAGCAGCTAATTGAGCTAGATAGGATGAATTTCAACCTCTCGTTACCTTTGTGTTCTTATGCTCTGTAAAAAGATACTATGTACTCCTTGGCACAAGTAGCCCATCCTTAGTTGAGAGGGCACAGACGCACAACAGAAATATTAAGAAAATGACAAAAACATACACTTTGGTAATTAATAAACTACTAAATGTTACATTTAAAACATTTCTATTGCAATTGAGCAAGCCGTGCACGTAGTCCAGAATCATGCATATTCAGAATAATTTGCTTTCTGGAGCCCTACACCCTCCACAGAAGTAAAAGCATTAACATTGTACTGTAAATAGGCACACTCACACAGGCATCAACCTTTACCACTTGTTAGCTGCAAATTTCTGAGGCTGCATGTGTGTTTGTGAGTTAGCACAGGAGTTTCTTCACAGGATTTTTTATTCATCCATTAATAATGTACAGTATTTGGCTGATGCTTTTATCCAAAACAACTTATATTGGTACCCATTTACCATATACAACTGAGCAGTGTTCAAGGGTAAAACAGCAGTGCCCATCTGAGATTTAAATCTTTAACATTCCAGTTTTTAGTCCAAAACCCTATTCAAGCAGGAAATACCGTAACAAATGGCCGGCCATCCGTTACAATACTAACTGTATAAGTCATACTTTACATATTTCTTGGTAGTAAGGGAAGTTTGAATAGTGCTTGAACACATTAAATCATCTTATAACGATTTTCATATTTACATATCTTTTCATTTCTCCCATTTAAATTATTTATTACTACATATGTTATTACATCACCGTTACATTTTAAGTTTAGTTTCAATGTACAATTTTCCTATTGGCAGGAGTGGAAGGCTGGCTGTGAAATACTATAGCGTGATAGTAATGAAAAAGCTTCAATTGAAGGAAGAGAACTGGTGGTTCCTGACACATTTACATTTAATTCAACATAGACACTGTTGAGCACAAAAATACATCTGCAGATCACAAGAACTTGTATTACAAAAATCAGATAAAGTACTCTGAAACTGAAAGAGATGCACTTGAAAATGATCTGCTTGTGTTGGCTCATTATAGCTAAGGTGCAACTCTAGAAAATGAATTAAAATTACATCACATGTTATAGCATTGTGTGAAGACATACTCTTCACATTATAAACAAGTCATTGTTTATACAACCAATTTCAAGGAAAGCATTTCAAGGAAAGCAACCATTCTGGCTCAGTTCCTCAAAGTATTGTCATATTGAGGAAGAATATATGAGACATATTTTACAGTCATTTGCTCCAAGGCAAAAGTAGGCATGTCCAAATAAGGGACCAGACCTTCTATCTTTCCACTTTGAGTTACCATCCTGGGAGGCTCAAGGTGAGACAGATCTTCCCCCAGCAGATAAAGAGTGTTAGGTACACTAGATCCTTAATGGGAAATCAGTCCGCCACAGAGTAGGGACACAAGAGCAGGAGGCGTATATGAAGTGTGGGAGGAAATCCAAGAACTGACTCCACAAGGAGAGGTTCTTCATATGAGGAGGTCCTACATGCTCCACAAAGAATTCCCTCCACTGAACTTGGAGCCTGGGAGCTGTGCTAATCTCCTCTTCACTATGGCTCTGATTATGTGAAAAAGTTTATTTTCACATCTCTGGGGTAAAACACAGAGTACCTTTGGGCTCTGGACGTAGAAAAGGATGACTGTGGCTTCAGTTCCCTACTGCAGACACTACTGGCGCATCCTTGAGCAATTGCTTCAGTGTGCCGCGCAGTATAAATGGTTGACAGCAGTACTAGAAATAGTGCTCATGTCCCATCCAGTGAGGATCCACATACTCTCAGTCTGCTTTACAAATATATACTGAACAACAAGCTCCAGTCATGAGGCTGAGTTGAGGTATGAGGCCTCTCAACTCAAGAACAGACTTTACCCCTCACGCCTCCAGCTTGACTGACATCTTCGTATTTTAATTACTTTCGAAGCACCTAGAAGCACATTCTGCTGTGGAGCAAAATATTTGAAATCCTCCTATAAATCTCTTTAGTTTTCAACAGAGATTACAGCATTCCTCAATAATTGCAAAGCCCTGAAAACTGTCAAATTGTCAAGCTCAGTAATGAAACAAGAACCAAAGTCTAGGTGAACATTTGAGGTACACTGAAAGACTAGGTAGAATGTTTCAAACTCTGTGGGTGATGCACTAACAGCATTCAGACCTTTAAAGCAAGGACTGAATGAGCACACAAAATATATTTCAATTACAGTTTAACCTTTAAGAGAAAGGTTAAAAAATAATGCAAAAAAGTGACTGCATTGCTTACAATACAGTACACTCACCCTGTTTCTGCAATTAAATGGATTTAAAAGAAAATTAAAAATCATAGAACTTACAGTCATTCAGACTACAGAAGCAAAGGTGCATCTCTTAACCTTTTTCTTATTTAATTCAAGCTTAAACTAAGTCTGCTTCTTATTTTACATTTCATTTTCGCATATTCCACATCTCACCTTTCTTTAAACCTATTTAATGGCTGCAGAAATATCTCTCGGTCTCACCCTTGGCCTCCTTTAACCTGTATTGATTCAGGCGTGACTACACATTGAATGACTCACTGGATTTTTTTCTGTATTGGATATACAGTCATTTTTTCTGCACTGTATCGACAATTGTAGAGGAAGAACTCTGAAAAACCAAATGTTTGCTTGCAGATACATTCTGGATGAATCCACAGTACCGAGTGACGCTAACTGACATTTTAGCACAAGAGAACGGCCACACCTCGGGCTCTTGCAACATCCTGGTGTCACTCATGCAGAAACCTCAGGAAAGGTTCAGACACCTTTCTCCTAATGCATCCATAGGTTATGTCATTTTTCAGGTGAGGTGGGTTTTTTATTTCTTGCTCTCTGAGGATCTAGTCTCTCTTCATTTCTAATTTGGCCTATTTAGACAGCCTTCTCAGAATTTGGGAGACTAATTATTTAATGAAAAAACAAAAAATGCACAAGCAATAGCTTGTTCTTATAAATTTAAAAACTACTAAATGTATTATTTACTATACATAGTTACATATTTAAATGCCATTTATTGACATTTTATGTATTGAACCTTTTACATACTGTACATGTAGAGATCATTCTCTTTGCAGTACGAGTACTTCCAGTTAAGAAACATACTTAAATTTAAAATTAACGTGCCTTTTAATTTCTTTTTTGTAGGTACCACCTTCAGTAAGTATTTTGCTATTCACCTTTTGTTACAGATTTAACTTATTTTATTCCTTGAAGAAATACAAATTGTAATGTGTGTTTCTGCATGCTATTTCTTCTTTTTCCAAAGTACAAGGAGCAGAGGGGAAAGTTCCCAGCAGCATTCTTCAATAGCCAGAGCCCCATTGCAAAAACAAAGGCATTCATAAACTCCAGAGAAGTGACAGAGTGCTTCCAGCTCAAACCTGGGGACTATTTAATTGTCCCTTCCACATATAAACCAGATGAAACTGCTAACTTTATTTTATCAATTTTTTCCAAGACAAAGAACTACACAAAGTAAGACTTTTAATGGATTGTATTGTCAGCAATGATATATTATATATTAATATCCCCTATAATATAATATTTTCTTCTTTTACAATTTTTGTAAATTGCATTTTAAGTCTCTTTGAAAGCAAACATTTACATTGTTTTTTTTTAAATAGCTAATGAGTATTTGACATAACATTCCTATTGATTAATTTATCACATGAGCCCTTTGAAATTGCTTAGGATTTAAATTCTATGGACAAAGTTATTTTTGTGCCTTTAAGCTAACCAAAAGGTGTTTACAATAAAAATATGGTGTTCAAAAATTTTCTCTTGTTCTTGATTAGGTCTTCTCAATAAAAAGGAGTTTGCTACAACTGCATATTTACTAAGGCACGTTAAAAAACACAGTAGACTATGATATGACTGAAAAATGCAATATATATTTTTCTTTTCAGAGATAGTAGTACCAATGTTCTGGAGTCCAACATCCCCAACCTGGAGATGCCTAAGGTGTGTATGCAATTTAATTGTGTAGAATACTGAAAAAAAGCTGGAGTTCACTAGTGTTTGTAGTTTACTACTGAATAAACATATTCCATCATGTGTTATTTATATATATTTGATATAATTCTTACAAAACTTCCAGGGATCACATGAGTCTTTCTTTTCAAATTGTGGTTTTTGCTTCACTACCAGAAGCATTTTTGGCTCTGATAGCCACAGTTGCTTCAATAATTTTGTTTTCACTATGCAATACTGACCTCTTTCAGCTTTAATGTATTTGTGACTGTCCAGCTTGGCCATGACACATTGGGATATTTAAAATAGACTGACCTTGGAAAACAAGCACAAACAGACAGATGTAATCTGTACTGTATTAATGGCTACCCACAAAAGTGAAAAATAAAGCACTGTTTATGTTGTACTCCAGCTGCAATTGTTGATTTCTCCAGAAAGAGCCAAGGATATACAAATATACAACTCTACGGTACAAATCAAATGCTCTTTTATTTACAGTGGGGGAAATGAAAGACCAAGCAAAACACCAATACAAAAGCATAATCTCCTTTTTTGAACTGCTAGACTAACTTCTAATTAGGCTCTCTATCACAGCTGGGCAGCTAAGCTGCTTACCAGTTTTCCAGAACAGGTGTCTTTCAGATTCTTCACAAAAATTCATGTCAAGAATATATAGTATGGATAGTATATAGATACCCACAGACCAGACAAGACAGTAGTATTAGTTACTCTCCTTGTTAAAGTCTACCAAGTGAGCCATGACAACATCTTATACTACCTAGCTAATACACAGAACACATGATACAAATGATGCACAAGGGACACACTACACACTCATGACCTGCACAAAGGCGAGGTGTCATGAAGATTTGTTTCTTCTTTGTTTTCTTCCAGGACCCACTGCCCCAGGTACGGACCTCACTGGCTCAGCACCACCACATACCTCAAAGTGCAAATTCCTTACAGTGTGGTAGTTGTGTGGTCTCTAAGCAAACAGTGTGCTCCTCTATCCTTGTTGATTAGCACCTTTGCCACTATTTGTGCTTGAAGACATTGATCAGAGGGAGTATACAGACACCAAAAACACTGACTGCTATATGCAAACTTGAATTTAAATATGGTTACTGATACCTGTTGCCTAACATTCTTTTGTCACTCAGTTTCTCCAAACCTTCAGTCACTTTGCAAGATTCTTCTAAAAACACTTTTAAAATTTCAAACTTATGGACTGCTTTGTCCCTTGGTCAGTTGCTTCCTTCTCCATTCCCTCTGGTCCTCCAGACAGCAGATCTAACTGGCACTTGGAAGCCTTTGCTTCCTGGTCTTAAAACAGTCTGCCAACAGCTGGTCAGGTGACTGAGGGCAGCAGCTCGTTCCACACAGCTTTCTGAACCAGAATGGCTCTTACAGGATCTACTGTGTAAAAGACAGGTTTGCCTGTAAAGTATTATATTGTATAACGAAGCAAGAAAAGAATACCAGAGTATTTTATGAATTCTGGGATGCCTTGAGATCTGTCCAGCATGTTTTAAAGGTATTCATTTATCACTTATCTTAACCTTGTGTGCAATATCCTTGCTTCAGAATATCTGTCAGAGACTGCCACACCTGAGCAGAGCTAGGTGACATAGCAGAGTCCAGTTGGAAATTGACTTTATACCGTACAGTCATATATTAAACAGTATTAGGAGGGGCACTGATAGAGAACCTCTCAGGAACTACTTACAGCATTCTTAAAGTGAGTTGGTTCATTGATCATGGTGGAGGTAGAAATCTTACAAACAACAATGTTTTGAATCTTCTGGCTTCTTTTTATTTTAGTGCTATACAGTTCTAAATTGTTCTATAGTACTAATCTCAATGCATAAAGCTTTTGGAAGCCACAAGTAGCTGCTGAAGGTAGTTTAAAACCCATCATGTTCATTAGTACATCTTTTGGAAATTGGACATGTTCACTATAACATAAAGGGTGATATAATCCACAAATATTAGCATTTAAGAATTCTGTTCCTTTGATTCAGCAGAGTATCCAGTTAAGTGTAAAGTATAGAATATGCGATTTAAGCATTGAAGTCTCGACAGATTCAAGGTTACAATGTCAAGGCTGTGTCCTTGTTAACTGCTTTGCTACTTTTCTGTCATGAACTGCAAAACTATTTGTTTCTTTTTTATTTTTAAAATATAACTATATATTTCCTAATATATATATATAACTAAGAAATCCTGTCACTTAAAATTTCATTTTCAGTAAGGACCTGTCTTAAAAAAATATTCATAGAACAACTTTTTTAATTCCATGGGATAAAATGTGATTAGATTTTCGGAGATTATAGTTGTTGGTCATTACTGATATTAATTTATTTTGTTTAATTTTTTTATTCATTTTATCTATAGCAGCCCATTTATAACTATGAAGACAATCCCCACAAGAAGGTTTTTCTGCAATATTCTGATCAGGTAAGAAAATCCATACATTTTCTAACCATATCCATTACGGGGTTGCAGGGGTGCTGGCAACACACCAAGGCAGGATACACCCTGGACAGCAAGCCAGACTACTGTAGGACAGAATCACAGACACAAGCACACATACACAGTCAGGGCCAATTTTCCCAAAAGCCTATACTAAGCATACCCTTTTCCCCATACCTAGCAGTATGCCTTAGAACTGTTGGAGGAAATGCACACAAACGAGGGAAGAATATACACTCTCTACACATATAGAGACATATATACTCATATACTCTACACAGAAAGCATCAGAGGACTTGAATCCAGGGCCCCTGTGATGCAAGCCTACGGTCCAGTGCTAACTGTGCCACCATGCTGTCTGTAAAAAGATCCTGCTGTAACAATGGAAGTATGAAGTATGACACTCATTTTTGGAGGACAGCCAGTTCTGGGCAGATTCACAGTTCTTCCATATTTTCTCATCTTTTTAATGATAGACTTCACTGTGCTTTGAGGTATATTCAATGCCTTGGAAATTTTCTTATATTCTTTCCCTGACTGGTACAGTACTTTTCAAGAACCTTGTCTTGGATCTGCTTGGAATGTTCCTTGGTCTTCAAAGTGTAGTGATTCCTTGGAAATGTTCTAACTAAGCTCCCAGACACAGGTGTATTTATTCTGAAATCATGTGAAACACCTCAACTGCACACAGGTGGACTCCAGTCAAGTAATTATGTGACTTGGAGAAGAGAGTTGGTTACTTCAGAGGTAATTTAGGTGTGTCAAAGAAAGGGGGTGAATACTTCTGCATTCAATTATTTTTCAGTTTTTTTTTTTTGTTAGTTAATTTAGTAAAATGTCTGGATTTGATTTCACTTTGACATCATTGAGTAATTTGTGTTGATGAGTGGCAAACTTTCTCAGTTAAATACATCATGGTTCCATCTGTAACACAATAAAATGTGAAAAAGTCCAAAGGGGCTGTAATATTTTTATAGGCACTGTAGTTAGATAACCTATTTGCACATCTTAAAACTGTACACGATGAAGCACTCCTGATGTATGCCAGGAGTGAAATATGGTACTCCTGGTACCATGGTACCATAAATAGGACTGTGTGGAACACATTTCCATACACTACCACAGTACCCATCAGACAATATCAACATGATCTGGGCCTGTGATGGCTTGTAAACATTCTCTGGTGGACAATGATTTTGTCATTGTCCTCTGTAATGTTATTGTTCATCAGTTCCCCTTGGTGCCATTTAAATGTATATCAAGTACCATAACTCCATGTTATTTTGTTTTAGATTGTTTTATGTGAAGCCTGTTTTCTCATCCTTTCAATCAATATCACAACATTGACACCAAATGTGTTACAATGTACTTGTTTGAATAGTCTAGCTAAGTAAAATAGCGTCATATACATTCCAGAAACTGTAATACAGTAAACGTAAGGCCTAAGGCATACTGTTAAGTTCCATCATTTTCCACATCAAGTTAATAAATAATGTGTTCCTACTGCTGCAAGGCAATTCTCTAATGATCTACAGTATACTCAGTTTTATGACAGGAAGAATGGAGAACATACAGGTACCTAAAAATGAACTTAGCATCAAACAGATAAAGAAATGTGAAATATGACTAAAGATATGGAACACTGAGAAAATTATGCAACTGTGCAAGAAAAAAATGCTTCTCTTTTTTATAGCAGTTGTACACTATAACAAAATATTTCTTTACAACCTGGTTACTTGCTTCAAAGCCCTTAAGCAACAAAACACCATGCGAAATGTATTACACTATAATAAAGTCACATTTTAAGCTAAGGAAGAGTAAATGATCTGAAGAAACAACATTATACAGTATTATGTTATTATGTCCTCTTTATGTTTAATCTGTTGCTTTGTCTGTCTGATAATATGTGCCCCTGTTTGTTGTTCTTTGACACAGTATGAAGAAGTTGATGCTGAACATTTGCAGGCACTTCTCAATGAGAACATTCTCAAGGGTAAGCTAAGATATGTTCTGGGTGTGACTGGGTTCAGATACATTATTCCTCAAGATTACGTTTTGGCAAACAACACAATTATTTTATTCATTAGGGATGCTGCATGAGAGCATTCAAATTCTGTTTTTGATTAATTCTTAGGTCTCCTTGATACCAAGATCTTCTGTCAGATATTTATACAGTATATGTTTCCTTTTCCTATCATGGTCTACAATTTCCATGCTTTTTATGCTTTGATATTTGCTGTATTTTTATTTTTCATGCATATTCAATGCATTTACTTGCTTTAACAAATTTAGACTGCCTTAATCAGCTGATTCAACTGATAATTAATCTAATTATGTTTGGCCTGTGTTGGAGTCATGTTGCTGTTTGTATGACTGTTTTTATATAACACTTTTCTTGTCATTGCATATGATTCCCAATGACCATTAAAAATATTCAAAATCTAGAGTCAAGGCAAACAAGGAACCACTCTGTGCATTCTTCTGTGTCCATGGAGAGAATTTATTTCTCCTGGAACACCCACTTTTCTTTTATAGTTAGTTGACAGTTTTGTCACTCCTTGACAATGTACAGTACATAGTAATGAATACAGTGGACTTTGTGTTTATACAGTTTTTTTTTTTAATATGTTATTGGTGGTGATGTTAACTATTTGCCTAAATGTAAGACAATATACTTTAGTAACGTTTGCTACTTATATGTCACAACCATTTATAGCACCGTTCTCATGTTTTGTTTTATGTGATGGCATGCAGATCTGATTGAAAATCTCTGCTGAGAGCCCTACAAGAGTGCTGTTTTTTTAAGGGACCTGCATTCATGCATTCGTGTGAATATTTCATTTTCAATTGAAAGAGCTACAATATATTAATGATTCACAATGTTTAAAAATAGTCATAAGAGCATAAGAAAGTTTACAAACAAGAGGAAGCCATGAAGCTCATCTAGCACATTTCGTTTTTAGTAAGTAATTCATCCAAGATTCTCATCCAGACATTTAGTGAAAATAGTGTCATGACTGGACAGGTTATCCCAGTTTCCCATAGTCTTATGTTATACAAATTCAAAATACACCCTAATTATACCAGAGGTGTGCATGGATGACTAACTGGATGTTTTTAAACCCATGGCACAGACAATAAACAGACGATCACTCTGCCTTATTATATCTGAATGCGTTTTGTTAATTATATCCATTGGATTATGAGGTTGGAAGGTCTTCTGGGTGTTATTGAAGTTGAGATTGCAATTATATAATTTAACCAAGTATTTGTTTAAGGTCTGCAGCTGTTGACTTTTAGAATTTTTGTGCTACTTCCCATGGGTTCCCATGGAAGCCCTTCTGTGAAAAAAACTTTCTGTTGTTTTTTAGGAAAAACATTTCAGAGTGGAGGGTTCAGCTTGGATGCTTGCAAAAGCATCATAGCAATAATGGATGTATCCTTTTATAGTTGTGAAGTTTAGGAGCCAAACTTTGTTGTGAGATTCAGTTTATTACTGTAAACGGTTTCTAAAGATTCAGTTTATTGCTGTAAATGTTTTCTAAATCAGACATTATATGTATAACCTCTTCCTGCATTTTTTAGCTTCCTACTTTCTTCTGCATCTGCGCATGTACAGTATATTCTCCTGCCAACTATCACAACAAAACTATGTCAAAAATATCTGTTTTGTGAAACTGGTTATACGCTTGTCACAATTGTGATAAACAGTGCATCACAGATCCTTCAAGGTTCTACACAGAATCTAAATAATACCACAGAGATAAAACAACACTACAACAGTGTTTTTTTAGTGTGTTTCTCAGCATACTACAACAAGAACTACTTTGAGAATATTGTGTACATTGCGTAAACATTACCATCATGCCTCGAATACTGCAACTGTTTTGTTGTGGTCCTTTAAAGAAATGAATGCTAGATTAATATTTATTAAAACAGTAATGCCACATATTTTCTCAAATGAAATAGAATGCAATGCAATTATAATATTATTTTTGATATAGGTTAGACAATTTGTTCAATTGAGTTTACATTAGTTCAAGTCTTTATTAAACAGAGCTTTACAGCATGCCATCACTATGGTGTATACAGTGTATTATAGTCCAGAGCGGTGCTCTCTGTTTTGTTGAATTGGCTGTTCTAAATTATTTTTATTTCAGTTATTTAAATAATATGATTAAGTATTTTGTTTTACAGAATGTAATGAGTGTGAAATACAGGGTATTTAGACACACAAAGCATTGCATTAGTGTACTCTTTTAATACGACTAGCTGTTCTTTAACCCATTTTACAGCTTTCAACTACTGGAAAGTTAAATGCTGTAGAATTTGTACGTTTGTGGAAAAAGGTCCTTGCCTACCAGGTAGGAAGAATTTTGCTGCAGTACTTCTGCCATTTTTTTAATGAACTGCTTTTACATTACACTTATCCTCCCACAGAATCACAGAGCACTTCATCCACCACAGACATTCAGCTCTCATTCATTGCAGGTCTCAGTTTAGGCAAAATGTTATTCGTGTATATAATCCATAAGTCACTGCTTACTTCACCGTGTATTTTTGGTAACCCTTCTTGTTAAGCATTCAGTAATTAATGTATTCAGATTACATACAACACTTAATAACTACACCTTATACTTGCACATAATTAATAATATTATTATATATACTGTAGTTTAAATGTACATGTGTATATTTGCGGCATATGTAATTATGTGTGCTTTAAAATGTGCATTTGTGTATTTGCATATATTTTTACATAATTAAACTTTAATTACATTGACACCACACATAATCAGCATTATATGCAAGGAAATTAGCAATATTGAGTAATTATGTAAGTACTTTTTAATTACTTTCCAAAATGGCCTACTAACATTATTTTCTCAGGAAATGTTCTACCAAAAAGATGTGTCCCACACAGGACATCTGTCTTTGCCTGAGCTACAAAATGCCATAGAGAGCATAGGTAACTGAGTTACTTTTTCTGTTATTTCCCATAAATTTTAATTTACAACATTGAACTCTCTATCATGCTTGTTGGCCGCTGCAGTTCGGCAGCTGAGCTAAATCATACTTGTGTTAAAAATGCCATGTTCTTTCCTCAGGGATCAAAGTCAATGATGAGCTGCTGAACCTCATGGCGCTGCGTTACGGGGACTCTTCCGGTCGCCTCACTCTCGAGAGTTACATGTGTCTCATGCTGCGCCTGGAGTGCATGGCCAGTACGTCTGAATTAATCTCAGTGAACGTTTGACTCATGCTCACTCATTACATCTTCACATTATTGCGTTTTCCAGTCACACAAGCACAGGAGTACAGAAGCTTATTAGCGCCACAGAGAAAAAAAATGAACTCGTTATTATTGCGTTTATACGAGAAAAGTATCTAATTTATATGAGAAAATCACAATAGTTAATTTGTAAAAAATGTTGCCTACTATATTAATACTGTATATTGCATTGTACTGTATATGCAATAACATTGTCCCAGTAGAATATCGTCACACTCCTCTTTTTTGGAGAATAAATAACCTAAAGGAGCACGTGTTCTGACTTTTGTATACATGGCATGCCGATTCGCTTCTTGTGCAGCTTAACAAGAAGTGCAAACAGGTATTTGACATTAACCCCTGAGTCAAACTGACTCTACAGGTAGTTGTCCTAATTTCTCTGACTTTGTTGGCCGTAGTTTTGGGGAAATACACACTCCTGTGATTGTGATGCTTTCAGAACTGTCAATTAAATGCTGTGTTCTGTCAAAGCAACATGAAACATGTAAACTGACATGCAAGAAATAACATGTAACATTTTCCATTGCCATTTCACCTTTAAATAAAAACATTTACTGCCTTAAAGGGTATACTGTATGTATGATCTCGAAGATGTCATATCAGTATTATTTGAATGTTCAGCTTGATCACTTAAGTGTGGTCTAACAACCATTTGCCATTCAGATAATGCACACAAATATTAGTGTCGTAAGTCCAGTGAATATGAAAGGAATGATGTAAGGAGTGGAAAAATATGGTATTTTCTATTTTTTACAGAAATATTTCAGAATCTATCTGATGGAAAAGGCATGTATCTGCGGCCATCTGAGGTAATGGAAAACGTTTTTCATATGCTCATACGGCCATATGAAAATGGCTATTATTCAGCTATTCAAAAATGGATAAATACGTTAACAGGTTGTATGTACTGTATGTGTCTTATATGTGTATTATAACATCTAGGCTAGAGAATCAACAATATGGCAATAATATTCTAGGAAGCAGCATGGATTTTGAAGTAGGTCTTACCTGATCTTATTAGACTTCTTTGAACAAGCAACAACAGTAAAAGTTTAACATAAGACATATAATATAGTGTGTTTAGATTTTCTAAAGCATTATGAAAAAGTTCCTCATAAAAGATTAATTAATAAATAATTGGTAGCAGACATTCAAAGAAATGTGAGTGTTATTGAAAATTGTTTATTAAATTGAAAACAGAGTACCGATAAGGGGTGAACACTCAAACTGGGGTGATGTACAGTAACTAGTGATCTCAGGGATCTGTAAAAGAACCACTGCTCTTCTTAATTTACATCAATAATCCAGATTACATACAGTAATACTTAGTAAACTGGTCAAATTTGCAGATTATGCCAAATTAGGAGGATTAGCAGACACCTAACTACAGTAGAAGTGGGTATATAGTTATAAGCATAAAATCTGAATAAAAAAAGTTAAAACTGTATAGCAAATTAGTAAAGGCCTCATCTAGAATTTTTGTGTCTAGTTTTGGTCACCACCTCTTAAAAGAGATATTGCTGCTCTGGAATCTGTTCAGAGAAAAGCCCCTGGATACATTCCAGGGCTTAAGGGAAAGTTCTACACTGACAGACTGAAGAAACCGAACCTTTTAAGACTTGAACAGAACAAGACTACAAGGGAACCTTATACAAATATTCAAATGTAAAAAGGCATTTACAAAATCAACCCAGGGGATTTCTTCAGAATGAACAGTGAACATGTACCAGAGAGCACAAGTGGTAAGCAAATGGAAGTACATTTAAAACCATGAATAGGAGGAACTTTTTTATGGGTACCCACCCATATTGTTGAAGCCTATACCCTGTTTCCTTCACAGAAGAGGCTGGATTAGATGCTCGGCTCAACCACAAACAGGCTAGACAAGCCAAAAGGCCCCCTCTCATTTCCAGATATTCATATGTTCCTAAGCATTCAAAATCAAACGAATGGACAAGTCATCCCAAATGATGTAAGGATCAACAGTGAATTGTGAACCAATTGAAAACAAAACAAAATTTGAAACAATGTAGACATGCATTTCAAGCTAAGAACAAGAGACACCTTTGTAAACAAAAGGCTGTGGAGTATGAATTTAAGCCATTTTATTGATGTTGATACCCTGACTTCTTTCAAGAAATATCTGGATATGATCTTTTGATCAAATAACTACAAGAGCTCAAAAGAGATAAATGGACTAAATGGCCTCCTCTTATCTGTAATCTTTTTTTGATATAATTGTGCTTCATCAAGACTCAAAATTGCCCTGCTTAATGAAACCTAAACTTAGTAAGGGTGAAACACAGGAGTAAGTAATTACTACCTTTGACTTTGTTGGTGTGACACAGAATTATACGTTCATTTAGATGGTTCTGCTTTTTAACACTGTGAAACTGTGAGAGCTAAATGATCTTCAAATTCAAATTCCCAATCCATTGCAATTTCTTGCTCTAAAAAGACGTTGTGACCGTGATATGCATTTCCTGCTAGACAGAAGCATCTTGCATTTGTGACTAAAAATGAACATTTTTCTTCATTATTAAAGAAGGTATAAAGGCAGTGATACAAGTACCTTTAAGTTAACAAAATGTTGCAAGTGTACAGTACATTGTCTGCTGTACAGGAGTTTAAGTATAAAGTTTGAACTAATTGTTTTCTCTTTCAGTGGCTGTTTCTCACCATGTATTCATGAAACTTCAAGAGCTGGCAACAGTTAGACAGATTCCAATGATTTTGGAAGGTAAAAACGAACAAAAAGCAATGTGAAATATTTGAAGTGTACACCTGCGTACATTTGAATATGCTGCTCTACTAGGCCACAGCCTATCAGAGTTGTCATTTACATTCTCTCCTTCTAGTATTTACTTTTATTTTCTCAAACACAAAATACAAAACAAATTTAAACATCACCCCCTGCCCTCCCTGTCAGTGGTTCTCATCTCAAAGTTTCAAGGACCCAAGCACCCATAAAATATGATCGGTTATGATGGATCCCCCATGCAAGGGAATTTGACCTGAAGTCAAATACAACTTTTTGAAGAAGTTCAGTCAGCCATAGCTGTCTGAAACAAGTTCATAACGTGCTTGTATAACATTATCTTCTTAGACGTGATGATTTTTTGCATGATATCTGTGAGAGTCTTTGAAAGCTTTCTACAGAAAAAAAAAACTAATTTTGCCCTTCATTTGAGATTGATCATGTACAGAATTATTTTTTTTTAAGATTTTATTTCTTGAAAGACATTTAACTTAAAATACATGTCATTGCACTGCTCCCATATAACTCCTGGCTCCTGGGTTCAATTCTTACTGTGGCACCTTATGTGTAGGTTTTTTCTGAGTGTTTCAATTTCCTTCCAAAGTCGGTCTTGCTATTTAGGTTGATTTGCACCTATTAATTGTCAGCATAAACTCTGCTATGGACTGGCATCCTGTCCAGGGTGTATCCTGTCTTGAGGCTTTTGTCTGTAAGGTTAGGTTGAGACTGTGATGTGATTCAACCCAGGAATGTTGGGATAAGTGATTAAAAATAGCTGGATGTATGCTGTAGGAAACATGTCTACACATAGAGCAGTGGCTCTTAACCTGGGGTGTACATACCCCCTGTGGGTCTGAGATTCCAGATTTTTAGGTAAATCATCAAAAACACAGTAACTTCAATTATTTTTGGTTTGGGGTGTGAGAACATCTTATCTTTAAGAACTAAGATAAGATCACTTTATTGGCCATATACAATTTCTGGTATTAGGAATTTGTCTTTTCACATACCCCAGCTTGCTCTACATGAGACACACAGACAGGGAGAGAAGCTTGGGGTCAGAGCGTAGGGTCAGCCATTTATACAGCACCCCTGGAGCAGTTGGAGTTAAGGGCCTTGCTCAGGGGCCCAGTGGATTCCTCTGCCAGCCGTGGGATACTAACTGATAACCTTCCAGCCACAGGTGCAGATCCTTAGCCACAGAGCCACTGCACTGCCCTACAAAGCATATGCTGTAGTCGGCAGGATAAGAGGTGCAGACTGCAGTAAGGTGAAGAACCACTGATATGGAGTGTCCTGTATGCTGTAAATGTCCTCACATATGCTGAACAAAGTATACTGTACTGCCCCCCTGTGTTTTAAAAATAATATACTGTAGCAACAAGCACATTTTATATAAATTCGTTCTTGTTACAGATAATGAATCATAAAACACATACATTAATAAACATAGTAAAATATGTTTTTTAAAACAAGAAAGTTATCACAGAAAAACTAATTTAGTTGAACTTCAGTTTAAAACTAAAATAACCTCTTAGTCTTAATAAATGAATATGTATTAGAGTTGTTTTTTTCTTAGTCTTACTCGTCACTGGCCCTGTTTGTTAAATAACTTTTTGCAGTTTGTTTACAGTTTCAGACTAACTTAAAACTAAATGAAATTCTACATAAATTATGACTGTATTTATGTTTCCTACATTTAAAGACCCGTTAAAGCCTGGGAAAAATAAAACAAAACAATAATATTTGAGGTTGAATCACTTTAATGAACATGTAGGATTACTTATGCCCTAACCAAAGAATTCACAGTTTTAGTTTCTCAGTGTGTACACCTTGAATCGATTTAATTTGTTTATTTCAAATTGAACAACATTTAAGTTGGAAATACAACATTTTACACCTGTTAAAGTCAAAGAGACTTCTAAAAAGCACAAAAGTAGCAATTAACTTTGGCCAGAAGTTTCATTTTTAAATTCTGTGTATTTTAAATGAGATTTTTTTTTCTTTTACACAAGGGGTGCTGATTTCTAACCATCAATAGCTGTTAATTTACAGGTTTGATTTATCAACACTGATATTGTTCAGTATGTTTTGAAGAAAAGAAGTAAATAAGAAGCCGTAGTTTACCACCCTGGTGTCTACTTGGCATTTAATACCATGTATGCATCCTTGAAATCATGCCTTCTTAACATGTAAAAGTGTTTTTTTTTGTTTCTTTCAGTGCCTCCTTCTGATTTCTAACACAAGACAGAAAAAAACCTTTTTTACTAATCATGTGAATTTACACAGCACAGCAAAAAGGACTGATTGACTCATTACATTCATTGTTTGTAATAAACTAAATAAAACATATTTTCAGGGACTTTTAAATTTGTCATGTGTTTAACAGGGTGGACAGTTTGATAGATATTAATGCACTTCTCTCCAGTCTTGTAGTTAGGTAGCTCTGTGCTGGCGTGTTTGAAATGAAACAATTTTGGTTTTGTACCTGTTCTGCCTGTGAGCAAAAATAAAAACAAAAGTATCTGTTTATGATCTTGGCTTGCTTTGATTCTGTTCTATAGTAATTTTATTGAATAGGTTATTTCAATCTAACGTTTGTTTAGTATTTCAAAGACAACTAACTTGACTTGCACTTGCACTTATTGAATTGATTATGCAGTACAGTAGGTAGTGACATTTAAGTTCAACAATACTGCTGTGATCGGTACATTTAAAAGTTTTCTAAATAAAACATCTTCAACAACACAAAATGAAAATGCCCAAACTGCAAAGTATCGAGTTAATGAGGATGGCCCTTTAAACTAATTTCTCTTGCCTTAAATACGATGTATCTTGATTTTATTGGTTCTTCTAATCTTGCCTGGCACACCGAATACAGAGGCAGTCATGTTCAAGTTTGCTTTTGAACCAACAGATGGCAGCAATGCATAAAGCCTTTTTGACATTACATCCTAAAATGGGCAATTTGGTTTGTCTGGTTCGTTTGGTTGTTAGCAATTTATAATCCAAGAATTGCATCAGACTGTTACTTAACCAATCTTGCAAAGTCAGCTTGACCAGTTCAGCTAGCGTTTCCCACTATCCCCTCTGTAATAATATTTTTGTTTTGTGCCCCGAATGCTCCTGGTCGTAATTTCCACATTATGTTTTCAGGTCCTTTTATTGTTTCTGATCTTGAAGAATTCCATGGATTAGACTTGCTTAATCCCCTTCAGAATTTTGACTATATGAATCAAAATGAGCTTCAAAAGCCGATAACACTTTTTTACAAAACACATCTTTTTGAGATTAGCGAGTGAACAAAATTCTAGAAGTTGACCTGGCCATAATTCAGGACAACGGTAGCTTTTCTCACCACAGAGGATGGTTGCTCTCTTAAGATAACCAAACCTTTTTCTAAAAGCAACCATTTATAAAATTCTGTTACTCTCTTGTGTATAAGTGTTACTTGGCGAGATGTGCATCCATTTCATTTCCTTTGGTATAACCTTTGGTATTTTCCTTTGAGAACTGGGCTGAGGAAATGCTATTCTTGAGAAAGCAAGAGAGTGACATGATCATCATCGTATTCTTTATTCAGAATGAGGCCTGCTTCTACTTATTTGGGGGTTCACTTGCTCTCAAGAGATTAGCTAGCTGTCCTTTCCTTTTATCTGTTCATGCCCAGCAATAATTAAAACAGATAGGAATAACATAATAGCAAAATCTGAGATCTACATGTGAAACAACTTCAGTACAAAAGTTTAGATGTCTAGGGATTTTTACAAATGATGTTCTATGTGCAACTGACATACTAATTCCTTGTATGTGATTAAATAACAAGCATTAAGACGTTAGCATCTGCATGGAGGAAAGAACCACCTTTAGTTGTCCCTCTTGTTATGGAGGAAGGCATGCTTGGCTTTTACAGTTGGCCTCAAGGAGTAATAGGAACCCATTTCAATCTCGTGAGACAAAACAGACACTGCTTGAGATACTGTTTTCAAAAACATGACATTACAACACTGAATTATCAGAAATTTGACTACGGGAATCAAAATGAGCATCAAAAGCTGACAAAATGAGATTAAGTGTCTTTTAACACGTTTAGAGATTTGCGAGCGAACAGAATTCTAGGAATGGATCTGGCCATAATTTGGGGCACCGATAATGTTTTCAGCCACAAATGAAAAAGAAGAAACAAGGAGAAGTTCCACACTGAAAAGAAGAAAAAGAAAATGTTTGTCATCCACAGGGGTGAATGAGAGATGAAAATATCCAGGATATAAAAGCACATGTGAACAGAAAACAGACAAGAATAGGCACAGAGCAGGTGAGAAAGAGCATCCTAACAAAGGGAGATCTTGGGAAGAGGTGAGAAAAGCTGAAATCTGCATATGAATGGGGAGGTTCTACAGATGACTCAACCAAAAGGCTTAATGATCAGGTCAGAGGACTCTAATTGTAATGGACACGGACTGGAATCCGTGTCAGATCTTGTAGAAGACCCTATGCGATGCGGTAAGAGCTGGAGAAAACAGGAGGCGTGGTAAAAAGTGAACACACAGGGGTTTAATAGTGCACAAAATAATAGTGACCGTCCGTGAGACAGTGTATGGGGAAGACAAAACGGCATCCAAATCCAAACGGGTCCAAGGGCAGGTCAAAGCACGGTCCGAAAGTCCATAAACTGGAAATCCATCCTGGAACGCGACAAAGTTAAAATCCCTGGAAGGGGGGAGCACACAGACAAACGAAACATGGAGGTCCAAGGGTGACGGGGCGAGATCCTCCAGACCCTGGGCTCAGGAAACGGGAGGTGTCGGGGATGAGGCCTATGCCCTCAGGAGACGGACGTAGGGTTTCCTGGTGCTAGGCGGGCCTCGCGACATCTTTCCCTAATGATGAGCCCCAAGGACTGGAAGAGCTGGTCTTTAAATAATAACACTAAAAGGGTACACCTGGAGAGCTAAATGACACGAACAATAATGAGAGCAGTGGAGCGCCCTCTAGGGAGGGATGTCGGGCGTGACACTAATCTTCATGGTTACAAATAATTAAAGTGGGTTGAAGTAGAGAGAGATCACTTTCTTGGCCATATACAATTTCTTGTGTTAGCCACAGGCGCAGATTCTTAGCCACCCAGCCACCGCACTTAATTGTGAATTTTCTGATGTCAATCACTCTTATATGGGGACACGTTCAATTTATCAAAACTATGGCACCGTCTTACAATGCAAAATAAATTTGCACGTTATTCCTGTAAACATCTTGACCTGAAAGGGCTCACTCAAAACACACAAGAAGAAAAAGCTCCAGTAAAAAGTTGTTTGAAAACATTAAATACACTGTAAATGCAGAATGAGCAGCACAAATGGTATTGGGTTTCTTTTAAGCAAGTTCACATGTTTTTAAATGTCATTTTGTAAATTGACATTCCAGTTAAGTTTAACTCACAAGGTTCTTTTAGGGACTTTCATTTTATAAGAAAAGTATTGATATGTCTTATATCGTATTATGCTTCAGCTAGTGGACAGCCTATTCCACTGCAAGGCACTATTTTTAATGAAGAATGGTGTCCCTCTTGCCCCTCTTAGTTGTCTCCTATTGAAGTAACAATGGTTCATATAGTATAATTGTATTAGGCAATCTCAAAATGGCAGGAGTTACAGTAGATGAAACAGTCTTGCTAAAAAGGCGCAGAACAGGTTTATCTGTTTGCTTATCAAGTGGTCTGTCTGGTTTTGTCATGGCACATTTTAGTTGACCTTTGAGCCCTGTATGCTGGACTTTACACCACAACCCAAGGGACTACACGTCTAGCTTTAAAAATGCCTATTTTTGTAGCCTGCAGAGAGAATTTGGGAAGGTAAGTAAATTATGATTCCTTCTTACGAACTACTCTTTCCTGGTTCATCCAAAATGTTAAAAGACTGATTTCCAAGAATCATGTTTTGAGAAAGGTAAAAGTTCAACATTTTCACATAATGTTTGAGTTTTTATATTGTGCTTACATTTATTGAACACTTTTGGTACGTTTTGTCTGCTAATTTTGATCGATAATAACAGAAAGGAATGCGATTTTTCCCCTTCATCTGCAGCATGCTCTGTAGTAATTATATATGGCGTAGTAGCATAGTACTTTCAAATAACCGTTTAGATATAGTGCGTCTCGGAATTTATTTTAAATTATAACTTACATTTTATCTAGAATTCATATAAAACACGAAAAAGCTAATAAATGTTATTACTTCAACCGTCGTGTAGCAGGAATAAAAAAACATTAAAGCATAAAATTAATCATTCGCAAACCATATTAATTTAACTGAAAATTACTTAAACGTGTTGCAGGGCATGCACACTAGTTAAACAAAAGAATGTTAGAAGGAAAATCAGATATACCTTCTCATACAAGTAGTTTGGGAATAGCGATCAATAATACAGAACAGAAAGTGCGAAGAAACCAGACTTAAGGACTCGATACAATCTTGTTATCTATACCTGCTAAAACAACCTCATATCGTGCAAATAATGCAAAATAATGCATTATTTTTTCAGGTCTTTTTAGACAGTAGGTTAAATGCAATCGGGTTACAACAGGACGATGAAAAGGCTTCACTGTCACGCAAGCACCATTTACAGAAATATTTAATTCTAAGACCAACTTAAACATTAGCTATTTATCGCCTTATTCACCTTATACAAGCAAGTGATAGGGGTGTAATATGTGGTTAATGTGTGTTTCCCGTTCTCCTATTGGCTGAGCCCAGGTTCACTCCTCACTCACATTACTGAGACCTGCAGGTCCCTGATTCGTTAAACCCGGCGCTCCGTGTCCTCCGGTTGGCTAAAATGTCCACGTCAGCAGTCAATTAAGTCAACGCCTTGCACTACACGAGAAACCTGAGGTAGAAACTTTTTCACAGTTCGTGTCTTCCTTCAGGAAGTTGTGACACATGATGGTGTTGTCAGGTATGTTCAGTCGGTCTTGCGTTTAGCATCACTTGTTAAACCCATCTATGTATAACCGCACGAAAGGGAAAACGTCATACTTTTTTTTTTTGCTTATTTTGTTCTGTGTTTTCGTCTTGTAGGTGGTCCGGTAAACCAGATGAAATGTAATTGTTGCAAACCAAAAGTCACACCTACTTCCTGAGTCGAACTTGTGCTTCTCGGCAGAGAGGAAAGTCGTTTGAATTTTCTTTGAACATTGGGTCTGCTTCTGTTGGTTTGCAGTTTTTAGAACGAAGAAAAGGTGAATTTTTCTGAAGACCTTAAAATTCAAACTATGTTTAATGGGACGAGATTGAGATGGTGATCATATCCCGTGGGTGTTCGGTTTGAGCACATATACGTCCAGAGTAAAGTCACAGATTTTGTTTTTAAAATGAGATTTAAAATAAACAAGAGAAACGTACTGTTTTTATCTTTTACTGCCCTTATTGCACTGTCTCTCGGCTACATTATTCTTAAGAGTAACAGCTCACAGCGAGACAATGAAAGAACAGTTTTAAGAAAAGATATTGAAAATGCCAATGAAAGGGGTGTCATCCCAGTTTCTACGCCGAATCAAGTCCGTAGGAAATTCCAATACGGGACTCTTTTTGAAATGAAAAAATCGGTGTATGAAAGCAACTTGAGGCAGTTTATCCGAAATGCTGACAAGTTCCCTAAGGACCCCGAGCTGGTTATAGTGGTTCAGGTCCACAACAGACCTGCCTACCTCAGATTGCTCGTGGAATCTTTGAGCAAAGCTTTCGCCATCCACAACGTCTTGCTCATTTTCAGCCACGACTATTTCTCAGAGGAAATAAGTGACATTGTACAAGGAATAACGTTCTGCAAGGTCTTGCAAATCCATTTTCCCTTCAGCATGCAGCTGTACCCCCACGAGTTTCCGGGACAGGACCCGAGAGACTGCCCGAGAGACATCTCAAAAGAGGACGCCAAAAAGAAGGGGTGCCTCAACGCGGATTGCCCTGACTCGTACGGCCACTACCGGGAGGCTTCCTTCACACAAACCAAGCACCACTGGTGGTGGAAGCTGCACTTCGTGTGGGAGCGAGTGAGGGCCCTTCAGGGGTTCAGCGGCTACGTCCTCTTCCTCGAGGAGGACAACTACCTCTTGCCGGACTTCTACAGGTTTTTCAAGCGGATGACGGAGCTGAAGCAAAGCGACTGCCCCGACTGCGACATGCTGGTGCTCGGCAACCACGAGGCCCCACAGGAGTTCAGAGACTTGACGGACAAGTTGGAGACGTCGGGCTGGTCGTCCACCAGGCACAACATGGGGATGGGCATCTCCAAGGAGGTTTATTACAAGCTGATGGGCTGCGCCCACGAATACTGCACGTATGACGACTACAACTGGGACTGGACCCTCCAGCACCTGTCAGGGTCTTGCATACCGAAGCCCCTGAAGGTGATGGCGGCTCGAGCGTCCCGGGTGCTGCACACGGGAGACTGTGGGCTGCATCAGAAGGAGAGCTGCAACCCAGAGCAGGCTCTGCAGAAAGTGCAACAAGCTCTGCAGTCCTCCGGGAACTTCCTGTTTCCCCACGCTTTGGTTCTAGATAAAGAGAGCTTGGTGGAACACAAGCCACACATGAAAAACGGAGGGTGGGGTGATCTCAGGGACCACACACTATGCAAAAATTATGCCAAAATTCTCTGAAGGAACAGATTTTTTTCTTTAAAAGACAGGTGCCATTAAAAATATGAGGGATATTTAAGACCCTGTGTGTGGGTATCGCTGTGCTTTTTTTAAAGGGTTTGGAATCATTAGCACAGTATTTACATAACTGTTACAGGTGGACAAGAGCCCAGCACCAGGTAATAAAATTGCCTCAAGACCCCTCCCCCCTCCCATCTAAAAATGATCTTCAACATTCCAGCATTCTTTATTTCCATGAAAAAGTCATAGGTTTTGTTTAAGTTTTATTTACATTGAGAAAAACTCTTTGGGTGTTCTTCAAGTAGTAGGCAGCTGGCTTTAATGGAAAACTGCACATTAAGAATATATACTTAATAGTCATAGGAATGTCAGTCATGCTTATTGGAAAGAGCTGTGGTTATAGAATACCAAAGAATTGCATTTCTTCTCATGGGTTTTCTTCTGATGACAGTGTGCCCTGCACAGTTGTTCTGTGACATCCTGTTAAACTGTGGAGTGGATTACAAGTGTGCTTTTTGGCATTTAAGACTTTGGGCAATATTTGTTTGAGACATTAACGGGAAAGATGTCACGACTGTTTCATGAGATGAAAATACGCACAAAATATGATTAGTTATTACCTCACTGTTTTTTGTGCAGGCTGTACTTGCTACATGCTTTACCCTGGTACATGCTATAATTTGATCCTAGCACTGTTCCAATGGGGAGCATAGAAATGCTTAAACTGCCTTTTTCCATCCATTTTCTGCTGTCCAGCATTTTCTGGTGTCGGTGTGATCCAGTGGTGCCCAGCTGCAGACCTGGCGAGCAGCAGCTATTTCTTTCCAGTTAGTTGAGCCAATCATTACCTTAATCAGACCAATTTCCCTTTTTCAGAAACTGTTGAATTGAAAAAACCTACAAATTTTGCTGCATTCTAGTGATCAAGAACTAGAGATGCATGCCTACTGTATAGAGCAATCCAGGTGCCTCAAATTCAGTTCATGAGAGACCTTGCGTCTTATGGTTTTCGTTCCAACTTATAAAGACTATTAAACAAATACTGTGTATTTTATTTGCTGTGTAGAATTTGTCTAAAGGTAATTTGTGGTTGATTACTTAAAATATTTTCTTTGTTAACGCCACTGTTGCCTACAAAGTCTGGTTAGAAGTTTTACAGATATGGTAATTGATTAATGGACTTTGATTAGAGGTAATTGAGTCCACTGGTGAAACAAAATCAGAAGTCCAGGAGTGCACAATTCTAGTCCTGGGGTACCAGAAAGTTTCTAATGTGATTCCACCTGAGGCCTTAATTATTTAATTTAACTCATTATTTGCTCATCTATTAATCAGACAAGCTAAAACCTGCTGACCAGAGACCCTTGAGGACCAAAGTCGGGCACCCCCATCATAAGCCGTCCAGCAATTGTCTTTGAGAATCCTTGTGTAATTAAAACAGTGCTATTCTACTTAACAGGTTAAGTTAGTTTGGATGATTGTGTACCTTAGTATCTAATATTGGAGATTCAGTGCATCTTCATGTTGTCAATCCAGGCCCTTAATGACAATTCTGAGCTAGTTACATTATCCCAGTTCTTCAGTTACTGTTTTATGAAACCTAGAAGGCCATCCGACAGACTGGCTCTCCAGAGCTAGCGTTAACCAGCTGAGGTTATCAGTTGTTTGACAGGGCCATCATTAGACAAAAATATTTTTGTATTTTTTATCAAAAGGTCTGGACCTCTTAATATCGCACCAGACTATACGTCATTGTAAGTTGTGATTTCGGGATCTTGGTTTCTGTGGTTGTGTGTCACACGAGAAATTTGCTTAAGATAAACATCTTCAGTGGAGTTAAAGGAGGAAGGAGGTTTATTTTGCCATGGGGTTTTTGTGTAATTACCTTTTGTTTTCATTTGCCCAGGACCTTTTGAGTTCTCGTTCATTATTACAGTCATGCCACTGGTATTTGACTATGAGCTTTTCTGTTTTTTTAAGTTGGAACTTTTTTGGGGGGGATCACCCATGTCTGTTTGAATATTCAAATCAAATGCTTTCATTTCCCTGTTGGTGTGGCACTGCATACGGCTGTGAACAGCTAATTTGCTTTTACATTGATAAATGGTGCATTTCTAGGCATCAATAGGTTTGTGAATTTAAAAAGGACTATATAAAGGTGGAGTAGTTGCGTTTATCCTTTTTTACACTTTGAGAATTTCTTGTAACTTTTTTATATACAAAAGTTCAAATTAATTGCTGGTGTTGGTGATTTAAGAGATCAAGCAGCCAAAATGGTGCTTTTTATTCGAACAAAAGCTTTTATTCTAAATGTGGATATCCTTAAGGCTTGCTGTTGAATAGAATTAGTACCAGTTCGTAACTGGGTGTGTTCATGCTGACAATGTCAGAAAACTAAGCCTTGTAACATATTTGGTCCTCCAAGGACAAGATTGTTTTTCTGTGAGAACACACCAGTCATTACCCTATTGCACATCTGATACTGGATTTACTAACATAGATAAATAACTCATAGTTCATTAACTTGCTTTGGCTGTATACAGAGTGCTGTAAATCTTTAACAAGTCTGTTGTAACACTATTTTTTTTTTTAATTTCATGTGTAGACATTGTATACCTGGAGCTACATCTTGAATCCAAATGAAGCACAAATGAAGGATTTTCATAACTTTTTATGGCAATTCCACTCTTTCTCCTGTTTTCAGTAACAATCCAGGGAGTGATATCGCTGACATGACCTCCCACTGCCCTAAAGGTTGTTTTCCTTTATTGAGCTGTATACTGAGAATTTTCTTTCTTGCTGTCAAGTTCCTCAGTTTCATTAAAAATTAAGCCCTAAAACGACATGATCTGTAGCAGATGTCAGAACGTACTATATTAACCTCCACACTCTGCTGTGGATGTGGGAGGGACTTGTATTTACTGGAATCAGCCTTGTACTTGCATAAAAAATGAAAAAGGCTCAAAAAACTTCCATGGGGATTCCTTATTTCCTCTGAATGTGCTCTTGGGCCCAAGCAATCTCACATAATTCTGGAGGTATTGGCTTTTAAAGAAACAAAAGGACGAGAGAATTGTCCCTGATGTTTATTTTTTGTCGTGATTAGGACAAATAATTGGTGGCACATTGGTGGTGGTGGAGGGGAGTCCCCATTACTTGTAAAGTGCTTTGAGTGGAGTGTCCAGAAAAGTGCTATATAAGTGTAAGCAATTATTATTATTATTATTATTATTATTATTATTATTATTATTAAATAATGTGTGAAACGTTGTGGATTGTATCGCCACTGACGGAGTACCCTCATACCCTTCAAAAATAATAATGTAGCAGAAAGCTAATGTAACCCTCCCATTTTAAAATGGACTTGTTTTAAGCAAAATTTTGTATTTGCAAGTTGACATTTTATAAGATGTGTTTTTAGATCTTTATTTTTATCCTTTTCAGTTAATTTAATTCATGGAAAGCTATACAAACAGAAGATTTTACCTTGCCCAACTAACTACCTGCTTTCCAGAAAGGTATAGAAAATATTTTGATTGTGGACCAAAAACAAATCTGAATGATAATTGAAAACAGAACATGTCCCATAGACGTGGTAATGTATGTTGTGCAGAAATTATTCTGATTTCAAAATTAGAAATTGCTGTTGTGCCATTTATATAATTTTGCTGTCAGTGGGACCACAGGAAAGGTTAATGTAAAATTTTCAATGGTTGCCTGCCATTCAGATCCAGGTGAAATTTGAAAATCCAAGTATCATTCATAAGGCTCATTCATAAAGTATTGTTTCCTTCAGCCTGCTATCATTTGGATTTATTTTAAAAGATATAAATTATGGACAGCGGGTCATATCAACTGAAATTTAAACTATAGGAAAGCGTTTACAGTGGGTGACCATGAGGTCTTAATACACTGCATTTTCATTTTCTTCCTGATAATTGAGGTTTCTTAAAAAAAAATTGAATGGGAAGACATACACTGAACTTCAGACATTTGATTGTAAATAATGCAATTGCAAACATGCTTTCTGCTGTACTTCATACTAGTGTAATGTGCAGTGCCATTAGGAGAGTTTCATTCCCATTTTAACTATTTTGTAACTGGGGTTTTTCCAGTTCTTGCTTCAGTCAAAGAAAATACAGCTGACTCCTACCTAAAGGTTTACAAGATCAATGTATGTGGTAGTCATAAACTTATTTACTTTTTAATGTTGTCCTTCTCTGATAATGTTTTGCCTTCTAAACGATATTGGAAGATACGTTATGAACTACATTTTGACAATCATACTGATGCTTTGTTTCCTTGCTTGGCTTAATACTCACCCTCAGTTGGGTCTTAATGAAAAAAAGGTAGGCATACCTTAGGCATGACAGATGAGAATCTGGTTTAGGATTTAGACATGAAAACAGAGTCATGCCTACAGAGAAGTTGCACTAATTACCTGTTTGGTTAGTCTAGTCATTACTCGATGGGGAAAAGACTGGAGCCTCATTATAAATGATAATCACTCCTGCCCCATTGTAATGTATCCATGGTGAAATAGTAACATTTGAGGTGGTGGAGATGTAGGCTATGATAACAGTACAATAGCTGCAGGTGCAGCCTGCATTTTCAGTGCTGTGAAAACTGTCACTGCCGGTTTCACCCAAAGCTGTTACAATTCCTGAACCTTTATAAACAAAATGTTGCAGCACATTAGTTTTAAAATACTTCTGGTAGTGATATTTTGTCATTCAGCTGTCAATGCTGTTCCCTTATGTGCCTTATACCATTGAGAACGTTTTTGTCTTTTGAAATGAAATTGCTTTGCTTCATGAATATTCACAATGGAAGGAACGACAATCAGTGGGTTAATCTATGAAAATGAGCTAAACTCATTTTCTACACTCACTAAGCTTAGATAGGAAGTTAGGAAATGCCTGTGATCTATGTTTAGAGTACTGACAAAGCCAGGATCTATGGTGCACCCAGTTTTCAAAGTACGTAATACAGTATGTCTTTTCCTGATATTACTGTACGTCAGTGGTGCTAGTTAACACTTTTTTCATACAGCATGTACCATCTTATCTTTTTCCCTGTTTTTGTATATTGAATCCACTTATGTGCAGTTCCATTTATGTGTGGGCTTATGCACTTTCCAAAGCCCATAATTTATAGACGGAAAAATGCTGCCATTGAAACAAAAAAAGTAATTCCCCAGCAATGTACCTGAGAAATTTATCCTGTCTTAAGGATTCTTGATTGTAGTTTAGGTGTGTTAGTATTGCCACTTGAAAACCATTTTTGTGTGTTGGGGAACCATCTTTCCATATAGGTGAATATACACTTTAGAGTTTAAAACTGTTATTAATTTTTAAAACATTAGCAGAGCTATTAAATACCTGATTTCTGTGTTTTAACATTACATGGTGCAGTAGTCTCCAGATTTATTCATACCCTCGAAGAACTGTATTGAAAGTTGTTATACTTGTACAATCCAGGCATGTTATTTTCTGATTTGAACATTTAAAAGTCTACTACAGATCTATTGGAATGTATTTATTGTGAAATTCATATAAAGATATAACTTCTGTTATTGTTTGTATAATTAGAACATCTGTGAGAACCATTTCCATGTATTTCTGAAAGGATAATGTCCAAATGTATTCATACTCTAACAACCCGATTTTTGTGAACTTTCTTTTTACTTTGATTACCTTAAGGAGGTGCTTCCTGTATCAATATTATAGGTTGTTACAAGGCGGTAGGTTGCACATCCTGCACTTATGATCTGCTTTATTCAGTAAATACCAGAAATGTTGTTCCGGAGACTGTGGTGAGACTTTCTCTAATGGGGAACAGTGATATTTTTGCTCCCTTAAACTTTTGGTCTTTGAGTTTGATGCATTGTTTTTAATCTAATCCCGTAATAAAATGCACTTGCAACCAGACATGAGCTTCATAACAGAG